TTTCTGGCTCTCCGTGCTCTGTGGTAGGTGCTGCTGGTTTGCTGCAGGGAGGAGGGAGTGTGATATTTGGGTTCTTGGGTGCTCTTTGGAGAAGGCAGGCATGGCCGGGAGTGTTGAGGTTGAGAAGGGGCACTTGGCTTTTGCAGAGGAACAGTTGGTTGATGGAGTCTCCCCTTCCTTCAGCCTTGCAGCCCTGGCCTCTGCCTGCTTTGCGTGTTGCGCAGGGTAAAGACGTGTCCCCATTTGCTTTGGGAATTGCTGACACCCAGCTCCCACCCCCAGCTCGGAGGGTGTTTGGAGAGGAGGGAGGATCCCAGCACCAGCTGAAACCCCATGCCGTGGGGTGCGTGGTTGAAAATTGCATCACTAACAAAAGCCTCTTTCAGCCTGTCTCCCCGTCATCCCGAGCCTGTCTCCTGTCATGCCGAGCCCCGGGGGCAGTCGATGGCTTGTCTGGCTGCAGAAATTGCAACACTGGCTCTTACACCCGTGCGGACCCCCGGGAGGAAGCTCTGGTTTCCTCTTCCCTTAAAGCTGCTGGAAATTTGGCTTCCTCTAGCCCGAGATAAGTTCCATCCCTGCATCCCGGTGTTTGTAGTTGGCTTGGCCAACTCTTGGTGGGAGCAAGCTTGTGGAGTGCCTGAGCAAGGGGTGTCTCAAGGGTGGGTGCCAGGCTGGGGCTCACTGAGGATCTAGGGGAGCCCCACTTGCTCACCCCATCATTTTTGGCGTAGGCCTGCACACATCTGGGCGCAAAAGTGTGCCGGGCTCCGGGATCCAGAGATCCCCATGGCCGGGACCTGAGCCCTTCCCTTCCGAGTGGGCTGGGGATGCCCCATGGGGGCTGGTGCAAGACCGAGAGGGAGGTTTCCTCCCAGCTGGGTGCTCAGTTTTGGGGTGCCCAGCTTGGGAGGGACTGGGCACTTTGGGGAGCAGGGTGGGCACAGAGTAGTTTCCGAGCATCAGGCTCAGGAGGGGATCAGTGGGTCTGGCAGAGAGAAGACTTGCTCCCACCTCGAATTGGTGGCATTTCTAATGTCCCTGCTGCCTGAGCCCCTGGGGCTGGCGCTGGCATTGGCGCTCAGTGGCAGGGAGGAGGCTGGGGATGCTCTGCAGGTACCCCCAGGCTTTGGAAGAGGCACCGAAATTTTCATCTCCTCCCACCATCTTGAGAGACGTGTTTTCCTTCCAGGCTGGGCAAGGCTGGGCTTCTTTCTTTTTTTTTTTTAAACCTCTCTTTTTTTAAACTTTTTTTTTTTTTTTTTTTTTGAGAGCGAGCTCTGAAGGACAGTGCCTGGCTCCAGAGCAGGGTGGAGGTTCCTGGGTGGTCCTTCCAGGCTCAACACACCTCTGATAATGCCCCCATTGCTCATGTGAAACACCAGGGATGGAGTTGCAGATGTTGAATTGTCTCAGCTCCTGCTTCTGGCTCGAGATGGGGCTGAAATGGGCACCGAGCATCTGTTCCCAGTTTTGGAGCCAAGGTGGTTGGGTTTCCTCACTCCTGGGAAACGTGGAGTTAAAGCACCCGGCATGCTCCATCCCATCGAGTTGGCACCCACCCGAGTGGTTGACATAGGAGAGGAGGAATCCAGCGCCCGGTGTGTGGGCGATAAGGATGTGCCTGCTGCCAAAACAACAGGAGCTGGCGTACAGAGGGCCGGCTCACACTGGCCAGATGTTCAGCTGTGTCAAGTAGGAGAGACTGTCCTGAGCAGAACTTCCCCAAGTGCCTTGAGGAAAAGGAGTTGGGAAAGGAGGCAAGCTCCCAATTGAGATCAGCTGGGAAGCTGCTAGGGCATGCCAGATCAAGCCCCATTCCCAGAGTGTTGCAAGGGGATGGCTCGGATTTATTCCCAGCCAGGGTGACCCCGGGAGCTTGTCCCAGGATGACGTGAGGGGTCACCGTGACCCCAGAGCGGGTACGGATGCAACACGCTTCCTCCGTGGTTGCTCAGCATCCCAGTGCTCCGGCAGCATCCCCTGCTGCCTGCATGGGTGTGTTGCTACCGTGTGCAAGATCCCTTTGGTTTTATCCCATCTCAGGGATGTCCTGGCTGAGGTCGGAGGGCCAGCAGCCAGGAATGGATGGCATTTTGGGAGCTGCATCCCAGCTGTGTGGTGGGAGCAGCTCAAGGAGTGTTGCTGCTTTGGCCAACCTGCAGCCTGAAGGAAAATCCCAGGCCCTGGGGAGGGCAAGCAGAGGGAGTTGTTGAAGAGTGGCGTTTGGGGGAGGCATGGCCAGTGGTGTCCCCGTAAGGCACATCGCTGAGGGTGACCGTCCTCACTGGGCTGGTTGTGACCATCCCCTTTCCCTTCCTCTTGCAGAGAATCTGAGCACCGAGGTCAGCCTCCTGGAGCTGATCGGAGACCCCCCACCAGAGGAGATCCTGAAAATTTATGGCCCCGACAACAACCCTGGCTATGTCTTCGGCCCAAATGCCAACACGGGCCAGGTGGCCCGGTACCACCTGCCAAGCCCTTTCTACCGGGACTTTTCTCTCCTCTTCCACATCCAGCCCACCACCCCCCGGGCTGGCGTGCTCTTTGCCATCACGGACTCCTCGCAGAGCATCATCTATGTGGGTGTCAAGCTCTCAGAACTGCAGGCGGGCAAGCAGCAGATCATCTTCTACTACACAGAGCCAGGCTCGCCAAGCTCATATGCAGCAGCCACCTTCACCGTGCCCACCTTGCTCAACCAGTGGACACGCTTCGCCATCAGCGTGGAGGAGGATGAAGTCGTTCTCTTCCTGGACTGTGAGGAGCATGAGCGGGTCCACTTTGAGCGTTCCCCGGATGAGATGGAGCTGGAAGATGGCTCCGGGCTCTTTGTTGCTCAGGCTGGAGGAGCTGACCCAGATAAATACCAGGTAAGGCCTTGGGTCACTCCAAGGAGCATCTCCAAGGAGAAGCCTGGGTGAGGCTGGAGGGATGTGACACCAGCCTGTGCCTGTTGAACCAACCTGTTTGCCCAGTAGACAAACCAGCGGCCACGTTCCGCATGCATCCCTGGGGAAGGAGATGCTTGAGATGGGGGAAAAAGGTGGCTTGAGGTGCCACCAACTTTATTGTCTTGGATCTCACCAAGACAGAGCTTTCAAGGTGAGCTGACAAGAGGAGATGGGGTTGTGCTACAGCAGCCACTGTTGCCCGTACCTTTTCCAGCAAATGCTGAGCCTCTTCAAGTCTCCCCTTTGCTAAAAATACCCATCTACTTTGGCGGAGGAGCTGATTTGGCTGGTAAAATGTCTCTTAGCTGGAAAAAATGCTTGGGCTGGAGCTATCTTTGTTGGCTGATGTTAGGTGGTATCTGCCGGAAGACTTTGGAGAGCAAGGAGAGAAAGTGATAGCTCAGCCGGTGATTTGAGTGTGACACGTTGTAGATAAAGTGTATGGAAAGTGTGGGGAAAATGCCCGGCTGAGGCGGAAATCCCCTGCGGTGCTTAAGAAGAGGAAAATTCAGGGTGGCAGTGGTGGATTTCTCCTGGGTTGAGCACGGTTTGTCCAGCGACAGAGGCTCTGCCGAGTTGAGCGATGCTTTTCCCGGGGAGCTTTGCAAAGTTTTGGAGCTTCAACATGACGCTGGCCAATGAGCGGCACTGCTGCAGCCCCATTAAGCTGCTTCGGGCAGGGAGAGCTCCTCTGAGAAGGGTTCATGATGGGTGGACTGAGCCCCAGTTTTTGTCAGGATTGGTCCCTTGAGGTCTCAAGAGCAACTTTTTCCTCTTGAAGAGCCACTTTTTGCTCTTGAACCTGCTGGGAGGACCCGGTGATGGCCATGGAGGAGCTCCTCTCCCCAGCTGGAGAGGGTTTGGCACCTGTTGGAAAGCAAAGCAACAGCCTGAAGCGGAGCGAAGTGTTCCTGCTTTCTGAGCAGATGATGTTCCCGAGCTTGCCAAACACCCGCTCCCGCTGCCCGCCCCCGGTTTTCCCGCAGGGAATAGCTGGCCATCGAGGGACGGAGGCCATCTGAGACGGGAGCGGGGAGCACGGGCTTGGATGTCTCCTTGGCATCTGACTGCCTCGTGGTATTTCCATCGCCGAGCAGCCTCGACTCGTGTTATCTGGAACTAACGGGGCGTCAGGCTGATTAAAACCTGGCCCTGGGTCAAGCCACAAGATGAGCTGCTGGAGGGCTGCTGGGGAGGTCTCAGCTGACAACTGTGCTTCTTCCTGACTTGCCTTCATGTCCATGGCAAGAAACCTGGAGAGACAAAGCCTGCGGGCAACGCAGGAGCCCCTGGGACATCAAATACCAAGGTGGTCACTGTAAATGGGGTCTCAGCTGGGGTCTGGCAGGAGGGTTGGTTTGCAGCTGGATGCATGGTGAGACCTATGGTCCTGCTGCCCCCTTTACTGGGGCAAACAGGCTGCAAACCTTGTAACCATCTCTCATGGGGATGCCTCAGTTCGGGGCTGGAACCGGCTTACTTCCAATGCCTCTGGTAAGCCCCAGGACTGGGAAGGCCAGGCTGGAGTGTTGCGTTGATTAAAGCTTGGGCTCGGTGCTGGTGCTCGGTGGGGAGGAAGGGGGTGGATTAGAGCAGGCTGGAACCAGGGCAAGCAGCTGGAGGAGGTCCCAACCCAACTGGGGGGCGTTTGCTTGTGAGAGGGATTTATATATATATTTTATTATATATAAAGCCCACATTATATATTTATAATA